CTGACACTCTACTCTAGAGGCGTTGGCAAAGCGTCCAGGAGTACAGCAAGGCTCAGTTCCAGCAGTAAATCACAACTAAGGGAAACCAGAAGTGTGGGGGTCAAAGGTCAGAAAGAGAGAGGCTTCATTTGTAGATGACTTTTTATACACAAGGTGAAAGTGCTTTATATGGGACATAGTGACTAAAATAAAGGAAAAATACCTTATACAAATGAAATCACTTCAGTACAAGCTAAAATGACATAGGATCTGTGTTGGAGTATTCAGATCATCAGTAAATGAAAGCCTATTTATGCATTAGAGTATGTTTAATCATTGGTGTGCGTGTGTTGTGTTACCAAGACAAATTTTCCTGCGGGACAATGAAGTCTGTCTTATCTTATTGACCTGTTGAGCATGTTTCCTTTAACATCTGGGACACAAAGCACCGTGAGACAAGACTTCCTTCCAAAATAAGACAAGCGGGAATTCCAAGAAAAGACACTTTTATCAAATTCTGTGAATTCGTGTTTATGGTCCTCTGAATAAAAGGTCCTGTGTTGTGCATCGCTTATGGCTCTGTAAATGAAAAACACCAAAGTGTCTTAGACCGAGTCCCACAACACTATTTCCACCAGGTCAGGGAAAAGGCCATGCATTTAAAAAGAGAGGCGGTGGGAGAGGGACAGTACTATATATATATGGAGGGGGGTATTTCTCTGGGCATTGAGTTCAAATATCAACCATCTTTCTCTGGACTTCTCCTACTCAACCTCGACATGAAACCAGAAGCTTCTGTCAACAGGAGACCAACATCAACAACTTAACGTGCTGTTGCTTCACGCAAGAATAATGCTTTCAAGGAGGCTGACGATTATCACAATTTAATCATCATACTGCTGGTTCAGCACGGGGAAGAAAACACAACCGTTGGTCTCATCCATCCATCCTCCACTCTGTTTCAGTCACTACATTCTCAATGTGTGTAACACTTACATCCTAGTTACTTGAAAGCTGGCTGTGTCTCGTACAGATGAAAATGTTCATTTCTGATGCTATGGGAATGAGAACAAGGTTAAAAATGTATAAAATATCTATTTTTTGAAGTTCATTTGAATTTAATGAGGCTTTATCAGCCTTTTTTTATATAAATAATGAACAAGGAAACACTGTTCAGGAATGTAATGTGAAATCCCTTGATATTTCTAAATGTCTAAATTATCTTTGTGACCATTTTTGTGTATGTATTTTACATTGCCCTGCAGATCCGCAAGATATCGTTTTGAGGTCACATTCAAAAGAACCAGACAAGTTTTAACAACAGCAGCTGGCACAGAAACATAGTTAATTATGTAAAAACCTCTACCATATAAAAGAGGGAGGCCAGCTAGATACAGAAGTTTAAATGTGATCATTTGTTAAGTCTTTTAGCTGTTTACAATCAAAAGATTTGACACCAGCTCTGATGGGATTATAAAAGGCTAAAAGCCATCAGCCCCTCAAAACTTAGACACAAAATGTGCTTTACTGGCAGAGAAAAGACACCACAAAGAAGAGTTCATCTAAAGTCTCCTTCTTCTTATATACATCTCAACATTATCTGGGATACCCGACACTGGGCCCCGCCACGCCCGCGGCTTCATCCATAAGAGTATTTACATCTGACTTGTTTTGCGCCCGCGGAACATTGCGTTCTTTTGGCCCTGGAGAAGCGAGGGCGATTGCGCAACACGTTCAAGTCATTCGAGTGAAAACGTCTCTCATCAGCTTACCCTGCTATTGTTTTTTTCCTCCTCTGCAGCCCTGAGAGAGCTACGCGCTAATCTTGCACACCTTCCAAGAAAAACACATTCCTGAACGCTCCTTTCATGTTTGTCACTTTATGGAGGACTTTCTCCCTGCAGCACTGGCAGGCAGCCAGCTCTCCCAACAAAACAGCCGAGCCACGTGCAGCTTCGCCTGGGAAGGGAAGTAACTTACGTATCATGCCTTCTACGAGTCGAGCACAGAAACGCGGTGTGTTTGAGCGGATCAGCAAAGTTTAGTTGTTGATACTGCTGACAAGAGCAAGACAGAGAGCCAAGTGTTCAAAGTGTCTCTTGATTTGGCCTGTACTCCGCTTTTCCGTTCATATTGCTGTCCAGTTTAAAACAAGGGTCTTGGGTTGCATGCAAAGTTGGTGGTTTGAAATTTTGTAGCCAAACTGAATGACAACGCGTTCCCTCGTGGATTGATAAAAAGTTCCCACTTCTTGATGTCTTTCTCAGAACAGCAATGTTTTACTAGTGATCGTTGCTACTAAAATATCTAAAGTGCATTGATACTTTGATATTCAACACGGTCGACAGAGTCAAAAATAGCATTTGGCTCAATAGCTGCTAAACTGAGAAAAGAAATTGGATTGTTGGATTTTTTGCAGGTGAAGATTTTAGGCACCGAGATTGTCCCCTTCTTGCCGTAATAAATCCAGGTGTGATGATGGCAAATACGGGAGATTGATCTAATTGTAAGAATCTATCACAAGCATTTTGGGCTCTGTGTGGAGCCTCGATTGTACTGAGGAAGATTCACAGACAAAGAGCGGCTCAGTGCCCAGAGACAAAGAGAGACGGATCATAACACAAAGCTACAACTACATTTGGTGGGACCCTGAATTACAAGTGCGTGAGGAGCAGATATAAACAAAGCTGCCCTTTTTGCATGTTGTTTAGGGACGTGGATTGTTCCCACTTGGTATTTTTCCCCTTCCAGAATATTCTGGGGAGCAGCATGCCGTGCAGTTCCCTGCTGTCCGCTCTGTGACCCCTCTGAAGTTACACCGATTTCCATGAAGCCTTGAAAAGGGAGGGGAGCTGCAAGCCGATCCACGCTCGCCACCATCAACAAGGCGTAGATCCGAACTCCCTCTGACGTCTTGATGTCACAGCCTCTGTACGTACAAGCAGGACTGAGCGCCATTAGAGCCTCCAGTTGATTTGTGTTCATTAGTGAGAAAATGTATGTTGTACATCGTAAAAAAAAATGAAATACATTTTTTCTCAATTTTGACTGCAAAAACTGCTTAGTTTTTACAGTTGTTTGCTGTGAAATCTCTCCAAGACACGCAAAGACAGAGCGGAGACTGCAGTCAACTCCTTGGATCCGCAGACAAAATACAACCGTATTAGACCGCATTCAAATCCACACACCGAAACAGCCATCAAAACTCCCTGCATTCCCCTCCAGCACAGACAATAACAAAGCCTCACAATGTCCTCCAAGACAAACCAGTGATATGTCCTCCTTGGCAGATGCCTTCCAACTTGGAGGGAACAGCAACTTTGGCCTGTCTTGGTTTGTCTGCCACCGTTCCCTTCTGGTCTTGTTGTGATCGCTTAGGAATGTGAGTCGATAATGAAAAAAAGAAAATTGAAACGTCCGACTTCCGCAAGGGAATATGGTGGGAATGCGGCTAAACGTACCCTAACGGGACTGACTGATGCCTCATTTCTAAGCTAGATATGACGGATTACACAGGTAGACAGCTTAGCTAGAAGAAGTAGAAGAATCCCAAATGTCCCAGAACAATGTGCTTACACAGCACATTATCACAACATCTGGACTGCAGACATGGTGCAAACCAAGACATCCTTTATGTTATGGAAATCTGTGATGTTGGTAAATGCAAGACAGTGAAAGCACAGTAGAAACATTTTTGTATATGGGGGCACTTAGAGAATGGGCCACTACACGTTCTATTATTTTCATGTGCATGTCTCTTCTAATGAGCGTAAACCTCTGTTATTGCAGAAGCTGCAAAAGTCCCTCCATAAAAACCACATGAGGGGTCGCCGCAAGGCTCCTGGGTGTTCACTATCACTTTCGTCAGATTTAAGGGGGTTCAGGGTCCCGACTGCTGCTAGCATGCAGTCGCTCCGCCTTAAGGCCTCGCAGCCGGTCCCTGGTGTTTACACCTTTTAAACAGGAAAAACAACAGAATATTTGAGTTATAAATTCACACACCGATCTTAAATAAAAACAGTAGTTACAAAGACCTTTAAAAGAAGTTTGAATGATTAATTTTGATCAACTCAGACCGTCCATTTAAAGCATCGCATGGGGATCACAGGATGGCCTGCAAACGAAACTTCTCGGACACTGCTGTCGTCACTTCCCCTCGGGGGAAAAGTCCCTCCATAAAAACCACATGACGGGTCGCCGCAAGGCCGAGGCTGTGAACAACAGGAAGATCTCAGGCTCATGGGTGTTCACTATCACTTTCGTCAGATTTAAAGGGTTCAGGGTAGACACGTGTTCTAAAAGGAAATCGAATTCACAGTTCATTGTTTTGTTTTTTAGAACAGCACTTATTTTTGGAATCCAAACAAACCAGTTTACACGTATCATTCAAAATTCTGCATTATTTTATCTACCAAAGTTCTTGTTTTGACTTCATTAACAGGTTGCAGATCAAGATGTTTAGTTTACAACGACACACATGGAAAATTGGTCCGATAGAAAGTTGAAAAGCTTTTGACTGAAACTTTTTTTGCAGTCCTCCACAAACACCGAGCGTCTCTCTGGCCTTCTACTTTAAGACGATTCCCTGAGTACATTCCAGAGAATTTCTTTAGCTTGATCTTTATCCATGTTTATAGTTTTGTGTAACACTGTACTCAGCTGCATGTTTCGTCATGTTGTTTACAAGAAGAATAACTGGCTTCTTTGTTGACTATTCCTATAAACAAAGTAAAACTTGTACAAGTGTAAACTACTTGAGAACAACTTGAACTTATTTTGACATATCGAGTTCAAGCCAGATTGTGCAATTGCTCCATATTCAGAGCTTTCACGTACAAAACTTGCGTCCTTAATTAGTTTTATCATTGTGAGTGATATCGTGTTGACTCATATTGTTGGACATGATGTACCAACTCACCAACACGATAAACAGAGGCCCTTACAAAGTCTACTGTGAGCAAAATAAGTCAAAGTTGGAGGGAAACATTAAAGACAAATCCATTTTATTTCCAAAAAAACAAGATTACAAAAACTTTGGCAAGATTATAGTCTACAATGTATAAAAATATGTCTTTTTCAGTGCGCGCCACTGGAGTCGCACAGCTGACCCTGAAGTCTTCTGTCACACTCTTAGTCTTTTTGAAATTTGAGGAGAAGACATAACCCAAGTTTTTGGAATGTTCTTTGTCCGTACACTTCAGCGCCTCAGTCTTGAGGCTCGCCTGGACTGCCGAGCGCTGTGTTCTGGTGCAGCGTCACGAAGTGCCCGTCATATGGCTCCCGTCAAAAGCTCCAGACCACGAGGCTCAGAGGTCTCCATCTCCTTTTGTTTAACAACTGAGAGACCTAATCCAAGAGCCGCGTGGAGCTTTATACAACAAAATGCTCATCCTGTCTCCCCGCTGCGCGGGAATCAACCAGCGCAGCCGACCGGCAACGCTCTGCGGTGCAGCGTCGCTGGCTGCAGCCTTGCGTTTACATACCTCACGGTATTTGTCCAAATACAAGGCAATTCTTTTTCTTCTGGTAGAATTCGTTTCAGCTGCATTTATCGCTCTGAGAAAGCGACTCCATTTACACTTGGATGGAATCTTTAACTGCAGATAATTATAGCATACGTATTTTTCCCTTTTAGATATTGTGACCGGCACCTAAAATAGATCTACATCTGCTTACTTGACTCGTCTGCTCAAACCTCACACCTTCAGATACAGTATGTTCTTAACTAATAGTAGAAATCATTGCAGGCACACTTAAGTCACATTGTAGGTTGTTAAAGTCTTCTCTGTTGCATTGACAAGAAGATTTGTAAAGTAAGATTGCACCTTTTTACGCTAATCATTCATAACAACGTGCTTCTAAACACACGTTAACTCCTCCAGAGTGCTTTTAAACACTGGTCACAGCTCCAACTCTCCACCAAACAAATATCAAGTGACCTTCCTCCCCAATGTGTCCTAAACTCCTTAACTCTCAATAGTCATTTCACATAAGGGAACCAGTGATTGGGAGACATTTGCACCTCCAGAAGAAGCACCAACAAAAATCACTTGTAGAGGACAGGAACTGATGTGGAGAAGCTGCTTTCCTCTTAACAGAACAGGACACAAGTCCACTTTTCTTTTTTGGACGGGAAACCAATGGCGGCTTCTCCCTTGACATCCAGTTCCTGTGGGCTCCTTCTCCCGAACTCTCCGTGGAGCCCCGGTGCCTGTCCGCGACACCCTGTGGAACCAGGTGCCATTTGTTGGTAATCCAAGAGAAGACAAATCTCTTGATTTGTCTTCTTTAAATTAAGTTGCTTGACGCTCGGGCGTGGGCTGATGGTTCAACATGTCATGCAGCGAGGTCGTATGTTTAAGGGCTGAGGGTTGGGGTCAACCTGTAGGCAGCAAAGGCAAAGAAAAGTCACATTAGATGAAGCGGATTATCCAGCCTTTGTACAACATCATTCAGCCTACGGCCACAGATTTGTTTTGATGTACAATTATACAATTTAGCCAATCTCATGGGTCCTTGAAGGACCGGAATTCAGGATGTTCTATTCATCCGAATAAAACTATAAATAAAAGGTGACTCACCTCGCTGTACACTGGCGGAGGTCGGAAGCGGAACTCTTGAACAAATTCCATGAGGGGGCGCTCCAGGATCCCACTCAAATCGTCGGCGGTTTGCCGGACGCCCGTATTGTTGCGCTGCTCGGCCTCCTCCTCCGTCACCACGGAGCAGTAATCTGGAGGAGCTGCAGGGAAAGAGGCAGGATAAGTCCTCTGGTCCGACCAAACAGAACTTTGAGCTGCAGAGTTATCACTGCAGTGCAAACAACTCTGCATTTGTCGCCTATTGTCTTACAGACAGTGAGCTGACCCAACATTGCTTGGCTGAATCCAAATCTGTTTTTTTAAATCAATGTCAAAGTTCAATGTTTTTTTCATTTGTTTGTTTGATTCGCTACAGGTTATATAAATAGTACAAAAGACAATAATGAGTCTGTACTGCTTTGCTGCCTCTGATGGTCGTGTGTTTGTCTGAGAAACACTTTTGCTCCTGATTTGCTTGTGTCATTAAAAAAAGGCCATGTTGAATAACTTTGTCTCTATTTACATAGTGGTCACTGCAGAATTAAAGGACACTTACGCTCGGGCTGCTCCGGGATGGACATGCGCAGCCATTCCATTTCGACGCTGTATTGGCTGCTGACGCTGGACGTCCGGCTGCCAAAGGGATGGAGGGGGATCGTGCCGATTACCAGTGGCAGCTCCAGACACAGCTTGGATGTCCCCGGAACATCAACACAGATCTGGTTGAAGGAAAAGATTAAAAACATTCGATGAAAACCGAGCAAAACAGCAGCGCGCACGAAAACGACGGGACGTAGTACTTTAATTTCTAAGAAATGAAAGCAGCTTTTGACTGAGCTCACCTTGAGCATGTACTCCACTTTGATGATGCGGCACTGCAGGATGGAGGGACCCACGGGTGGGATCTTGATGGCGCGACCGTGCCACGTCTCCCTGCATCTGGCCCCTACGATGTCGCCGCTCAGCGTGCCCACCACTGCGCGCTTCTGCTTCATGGTGCCGCGGGCGATGAACGTCTGCGTCTGAGTGAGGTAGGCTTTGGGCACAACCGACCTGGAGGTGGCGTTGTCGAACTCTGCAAAGACAGGTATCACCTCACCTGGGGGGTGGGGGGGAAGGTATGTTAGAAATGGCATAGACTTAAAATCTGGCCTGATCATTTCAGAGGGTTGCTTCAGGCGCCCGCCACCTCACCGGGTGTGTAGCCTTTGCGGTCAATCTTCGCAGTTACAGACACCTGTCCGAAGTTGCGGTACCACGCCCGTGCCATCTTGTCCTTGGTTCCAGCCTGTGGCGCCTGGGAACGATGAAAGCAAATGAAGTTAAGTGCTTCAAAAACACCCAGAAAGACATTGAGGAGCGCGTTGTGATGAGAGGGCGGAGATGCTCACCAGTAAGGTCGGCGTGTTGATGTCAATGGGCTCGATGACTGTAAACTCCTTTTTGATCTTCCGGACAGTGGCCCAGGGCCTGTGCAGCTTCACTTTGACCCAATAACGGATGCTGCCGTGTTTTCCCTCGAAGGAGGTGACCAGGGTCTCCTCAGGCAGCTGGAAGCTGAATGGAAATTCATGTCTGCCCGCAGCGAGGACGGTGGCTTCACCGTTATCTGAGGAGAGGAGAGAAAAAACATACCAATTAAAGTTACAGTTCATTGACTTGTTCTTTTGGATGCGGTTTGTCATTTGATTTCAAGTAGCGAACAGCAGTGCGTGCAACTTCTAATTCCTAGATAACCGGTTTCTCCACGTTTGTGTCATAAAGTGTACATACAGTATCACTACACTGATACAAACAACCAATACGGTGCCATTAAATAATAAAAGCTTCTTCGTGGGATCGTTTATCTGATTCTGTGTAAGGTTGAGTCACATTCTGCACGTATGCATGGCAGCAAAGTCATTCATCTGGCAAAGGAAAAGTGCTGCTGAAAAAAAATCATTCTATTTCTTTTGAACGCCACGTAAATAGAGTTGACTTTGTGAGAGAAAAGAGATATTTAAAACAGGACTATGGTTGAAAAAGAATTTTCTCAGCAATCATATGGCTTCTTTGCTTGCTCAGAGGGGCGGTTCCTCCTCCTTTATGCTGACTGAGAACATGTTTTTCTCAAGCTGTATTACACAGCCTTTCTCAACTGTTTTTTTTTTCTCTGACTCCTGTTGCACAGGTCCTGCAACACGTGTTTGCGTTTAACGGACACTCCGTGTTTAGTGGTTCTTTGTTGGCAGGAAGCTCCCTCTTGATTAGAAATAACAATACTGTCTGTCTGTAAACCAGAGTCAAGTCAAAGGTTATGGGCTTTCTCTTGTTACGTTAAGTTAAGTTTTCGGTCTTCACTTCAGGCCAAAACAAATGTGCGCTCAATGAATGAGGGCAGAAGGAGGATGTCCCCCATTGCTGGGAGAGAAAAACAACCAAACAAAAGTTTCTTCGAATGAGGAGAAGTCTCATGTCAGGAGTACTTTTTTTTCAACAGATGTCTTCACAATGAGTGCAAAGACAGCTGTTGAATAATGAGCTATTGTCATATTTTTTAACAGGAGTGTCATTTTTATACTTTGATATTGAGAAAAAAATTAACAAAAAGTCCTCTAAAAATTGCCTTTGTCAATGAATAACCGTGTGTCTGATTGCTTGTTTGGTGCATTTTCTGAAGCTCTATGCACGGTTTTACTTTGTTACGGAAGTAGCAAACAAAGACATTTTCTCGGCTAATAAAGTGACGTTTGAAACTTGCAAAACAAGCCACAATTTTCAATAGATAAAACCAGAAAAGGGAAGAACTCTGCTTATGATCCCTTTAAGTCTCGAATACTATTCCCGGTTTGCAGACAATAAAACAACCCAGTGTCCCCATCCAAATAAAACACTTTCACTAGGTTTTGATCCAACAAGCCTCCCTTTACAAACAAGGACGCACCCTCCGTGTTGTCCCCCATCACAGCGCCTGCAGAGCGGACTGACCTGCCTGCAGCAGCACCTCTCTGCGGTTCAGGTACTCCACTTCGTCGCTGTAGTTCTGAGTGTACGCGGTGCTGGAGCCGGCGGACCGGGACTCGGTCCAGTGCACTTTAGCGAATCCCTCGGCATGGAGCTTCAGGGAGTCCACCCGACTCTTCTCGGACAGTTCCACCACCACCCGACCGGACACCACGTCCCCGCTGCTGAATACCGGAGGACAGTCCACCTCCGCGGAGTCGAAGACTATTTTAAAGTTTTTCAACTTGTCAAAGATCATTTTCGCGGCTTTGTGCAAGTCGTCTCCGACGCAAAGTGTGAGGGGGTTCTTTTAAGTCTCGTTCCGCGAGTCGTTGCACTTTGACAAAAAGTTTTTTTTTTTCTGAAGTGAAGCTCCAAACTGTTGACGTTTCGTCCTCTCGGTCACAGCTCAAACTGTGGAGTGACTTCTGCTTGCAGCCTTATTTGCAGTCTAAGAAAGTGGGCGGGGCTTATCGACGCATTATGTAAGGCCGAGAGAGAAGGCTGAGCGCTGATGCTGCCTTCAGGTGCTCCCTCCACGGCACCGACTCGTCAGTGTCCAACAAGACATTTGGCTGCATTTACCTACTTTATTCGGTCAAAATTAGGCAATTAATGCCTAAAGGACAACTATAATGACGGAATAGACACCGCTTAAAGCCTCAGGGTTTGCATGACAACTGCCCACGTGAGAATCGAAAACTTTCTACTTTCTCAGACAGAGATTCATTAAAAAAGATAATCATATTTCTGGACTAAGCCTGAAGGCAGCATGATAAACATGCAGACTGGGTGTGGAGGCAGTAGACGAAAACAGGGCCTGCTGATGATTGATGGTTACAGGTTCTAAGAAGAAAACAGACTTACTGAACATGCCTCCGTCTAGCAGAGATCTGCCCTCAGAGGGGAATAGTTACACTCTGTCCCAAAACTGTTTACTGTTCTTCCATGTTGCTTTTAACATACTGTTTCACAGCCTCTGCACACGTGGAAACCACACAGTTATGAAAGCACGCAACTTATGCCACCTAATCCCTGTTTGAAAAACAACTGCAGTTTTATTAGCTTCATTAATAGTGATAATAATAACAATAGAATACCACCACATAGAGAAAACCCCAAAAAATAAAACTAGGCCACTTGCATGAATCATGTAGCACACATGCAGCCTTTTCGTAACACATCAAATGAAAATTTACGAACAAAAGCAAATTGTAGCAGAACAGATTTTTCCTAAAATTCTGCTGCAGTCAGTTTGATTTGACTTTATTTGACGGGGGAACTCCTGACATTCGATTTAAAACAGAACTAGAACCAAGCTTGGTCTCAGAAAAACAAAGTTGTTTACTCCTTTGTTTCCTGGTAGTGAGAGCTCAGCTCCTCAGCACCACCAACTGGCGATGTGGAGGCAGAGCGCACAGCCGCAGGACTCCCGGCATGTTTCTACACCGCCCGAGCTGTCCCAGCGATGTGCGTCAAAGCTGGGAACAGTTACAGATAAAGTTCACAAAATGATACGGTTAGGCCTCCGGAAGGTTAACAAAGTGAGTATCCCCTCACCGTTCATTTACCCCTGGCCCGTACACAGATGTTATGACCTGGAGTGAAATAGATCCCAGCATGCCATCTGCTGGTGACCAGGAGCAGAAGCCCAGCTCTGCCACGCCTCCCTGCCTCCGTCCAGATAAGGTAAATAAGTATTATTTGGGTCTTTGCACATTATGAGGAGCTTTAAATGTTTGCTCGATGTGATCACCACAACCACAGTGTAAGCAGGTTACCGCGGCTGCAGGCTAAAGTAGACATAAGCATCCCTGTGAGTTTCTTTTTTTTACCAAAAGTGCTGCTGATCGCACAAAAGTGTAAATCAAATATTAACATTGTAGCACTAGGACATTTGATTCTTCACTGATGTTCAAAACAACTCCTGGAAACACGACAAAACCCTCATAAACATTGCTGACTTTAAAATGGAAAAACCAAAAAGATAACTGAGCTGAAAATGACTCCATGGTGTAAAATGTGTGGGGAACAGCAGCAGGCTGTGTGGTGGAGGAGTACGGGGTCAGGGTGAGGCCTGTGTTGTTTTCATGGTTGCCATGACGATGCATCCTGAATATATTTTTTTCAGCTGACACCCCTTCCTCCTCCCTCCCCCCTTTCCTCCACCGCCTTTAACCTTCTCCTCTCTTCTTGTCCCGAGTAAACAGAATCGAGCACAACACCGTTGCCCAATGTGCTTGTTCATGCAAACACACCAATGTCGTTGAAACAGATTATATTCTTGAACGTTTTTAGATATTACTATAAAATATGAGACGGTGGAAGTTATTTCTTGGACAGATTCTGTAGATTACAGGTCGAACCACCCTGCGTACAGACAGCACCAGTCAGCCTCTCTACTAATCGTCCACAATCCAAAAGGAGCGAGGTGCATTTATGAATCTTTTGCGTGGATTTGGCAGATATTCAGAGTGAGCATTGACAGAGCACAAAAAATACATTTTTATGTAGTGGTTTTATTTCATATTAACTTCTTATATACATATGATAAATAAAAGTGCTTAAATACTTGTGTATTGATTAAATAGATGCATCTGTCTTTTGCTAACCCACAACATTTCTGTGTGACAAATTTATATCATCTGCAAGGTTTGTGGCGTAATATCACCTTTCTCGATGCTTAGATGCTTCTCAAAGAGTCGCTGGATGAATGAGAAGTATTTGTACTCACATATTGGTCCAGATTTCCCTGTTTCAAACTTGATGTTTTTATCACTTATGGTGTGAGGCAATTTTTTTTGACCACATAAATGATATATTTCAATTTGGCAGAGAGCGACAATTCAATGTAATGTTTGAAAATTCCTTAGTCTAATTGAATTATTAATGCACGGTAAAAACACCAAAAGAATGTATTTTTCTCTGTACCGTCTGTACCAATAATAATCCAGTTAATGTTTTTTCTGAGAAAGATAGAGGTTGGAAAATATTCAATTCAGCTCTGGTAACTGGCAATGTTTAACATAACCTACTTCCTTAGTAATGAATACAATAAAACACTGTTAGTTGCATGTTTCTTTTGTATGATTTAGGCTGAATTTTGGGCTTGATACCAACATATCCAACCTGTCTGATGCCCCTTCAACCACAAGACACACATCAGTTGCAGCAGCAATGTGTTTTCTGAAAACGCAACAGCAACAGAAAGTCTGCTCTTCTCTGAGACTGCATGACTGGTTACCTGTCCAACCAGACTAAAGAGTCTAACCAACTGTTTACAAAGCATCTAATGAAACATTAACCACTGTGTAAAGTTTATTTACTACTATGACTTATACTCTCTCCCTGATTTCGATGTGCATTTGGCCCAAGTGACTTCTCTTGGAAAACTGCAGCGACTACAAGACACAGCCAGCTGGCACATTAAAGCGCAAATCAGCATTTTTATGAAACATTATTCAGACTAGAGTGAGAACGTTTACATCAACCAGCTGCAATACATGCTGGTGCACAGTTATGTATATCACAGCAAAGCTACAGTGAGGGATGATACATGACCAATACAGTATCAGAAAAAAAGAAAATACAAAAACTACAACCAGGTCAGCACAAATTGCATATGTAATGCTCCTATATTATAGAAATAAAGCTACTGCTCTGAATGTTATAGCCGACTGTTTATTTCTAGTCATTTTTGGATTGTCTCTCTTCCGCAAACCACTCTGCTAAAGTACAATTCACTAACTTTGTCTGTGTTGAAGAATTAACAACCTGTAGTTCCAAGTAACCTCAGCAGCAGCTGTAATTCTAAATAATGAGCACAAGTTCTAAACCTACAGAATATTAACCCCGTATGCAGATTAACCACTGACCTCGGATCATATGCTGCCGCTTCCTGAAGTATGTGATCTTGGAGGTGTAGTCATTGTAGACAGAGTTCATTCCATGGTTCTCAAGCCATTGGGCTGTGGCCGCCCCTCTGCCCTGCACCTTCATCGACTGCACCCTGGTGTCCCTGCTGAGCTCCAGGACCACCAGGCCGGACACCGCCTCCCCTCCGGTGAACGCCGCATCAGCTGGTCCATCCAGCTCCAGCCTGAAGGACTTAATGGAGTTCAACGCCATTCCTAAAAGTGAAGGTTGACAGCAGATTAAGACACTAACACTCATGGTGGGCAGAAATGTTAGTGCAGGTGTGTGCGGGTTTCAGGTGCTGTAAAAAACCACCCAGTGAAAATAACCCTAACCAGCTACGGGCATGAATGATTTAAGCTTTTAAGACTCACCAGGGGACCACAGACCCAACACATTACACATGCGCAGTCCAGTATTCACTTTACAAATAGTTGTATTTAATATTTTGTTACTGATTTCAAATGTAATATTTTGTTATCGATGTTGAACGTGCACCTCCCATAAAACGTAATATTATTATTGTATCTTATTCTAACGTATCTTATTATATTATATTCTTTCAGGGATTTTATTTTACGGTGGAGTTGGGTGGTTCTGCTTTTAGTCCCAGGCACGCCAGAGCCAGGACTGCTAGTTAATTGTTTTAAAAACCCATTTTTAGAAACGTACAATAATATAACACTTTTTTGTGATCATGAAATAACTAAATTCACTAACTAACTAAACAGGATGGTTATTAGAGATTGACTTCATATAACCTCTTTAAAATGCATACACAATTTTACATTTTACCAAAACACAAATAAAAGCATTGGCTTATAATTAATTATAATACATTCGCTATCAGATCAAATAAGGTCAAACAACCGCAAATAACTATAGAGACAATTTTTCCTTCACTAAACAATACGTTAACGTTATGTTAATAATATTGTAATATAGTTCTGAGACAACTGTACGTGTTCCGTCATCGTCTCGTGCGAAGGAACACGGTCGTGGACGTCATTTTGTCCCCGTGGACTCACCGGCGGCTCCGCGGAGACGCAGCGGTCCTCTGGAGAGGCGGATGTGCGCGGAGGAAGACGGCCGCCTGCGAGGCTTCACTCCGTCTGCCTCTGCGATCAATGCGCGGCCTCTTACGAACGAGACACGTTTCACCGCCCAGACGCACAGCAGCTCCGTTTCACACCAATGATGGAGGGAAGACGGGAGACACGTCCGCCCACTTTAAGGCTGCGGACAGGATGATTTTCCGGGCCCTCCTTTCACATTTAAAGCGTGTTTTAGATAGCTCAAGGTCCGAACAGAAGATCAAATAGAGTGGAGCATTGAAGGAATGTATTATGAAAAGTGTCGATGTTAATGCGCGTTAAGTGGAATTTGACTGTTGACTCGATTTTTGTTGTCGAATGAAGGCTTTTATTTTGAAATCCAGTGCGTCTTTCATCGTCGAAAACGTTGAAATCGTATTTGCTCTTTCTCTTTTGTAAAACATGAATGTCACTTCAAATCTATACAAAATGTAAAATGTGAAAAAGAAAAAAAATGGCATGACATGGTATCCAACCGTTATTGTAGCTACCTTCTCATCTGATTTGCTCACTCTAATATACTTCAGGGCTCAGCTAGATCATTCTTATTAGACATTTGCAGAAATCATAGTTTAATGTCTATAACAGGATTGTAAAAAAAGGCAAGGTTAAAAGTCTGATCCAGAAACAATCTGCTCCCCTATTAAAGTTTTTACCTAACCAGGTGCTCTAAAAGTGGGATGAAATGTGTAAATTATTAAAAAGAATTCATAGTCAAAGTCAAATGAACATTTCTGCCTGGTAATGAATCTGTATTCTTCATGATTCTTGGTAGAACAAGTAAAATCAAACAAGCAATCTAGTCTATTCTGGAGTTTAATGTCCTTGGAGCTGTGACCCTTGGACCTGAGCTTGTTGTCCAGTTGACATCTGAGGCCATACCTGGACTGCTGCCTCTCACCAGGTTGATGAACTCCATATTTCGTTTGCCTGCCAACTTTTCATTTAATCTGCAGAGCCTGCATCTTAGGGTCACGCCTGTGTTATTCCTACAACACTGTCAACTGTTTTTAAAGAGTTTTTGTCGTTGACCGTGCTTGAAGGAGGGAATGAGAATCTTTCTGTGCCACGGACACTAACCTTTGTAGCAGTTTGCATTGACAGTGTAAACATGGTGGAAGCAGGACAGTCAAGTTGGAGGTTACTTCCTGACCTTAACACGACAGGCGAGGCTGAGGTTTATGCTTAAGCCACCTAACTGCTGAAGCTGAACTTGCACACTGCTTCAATATTTCACACTATGATGACTCCTGAAATGTTCTTGGTAAACGGTAAATCATTTATCAGCTCATTAAGGTTGTCGTTCTTTTGCAGTTGAGTAAAAAACACAAAACTGAGGGATCATAAAGATGCTTTAGTTGATGCGTGCTTGAAATAGGAGTTATCGCTCAAATGAACTGGAGCTGGTCAGAATTCTGAAGTCTTAAAACAAAACAACTCTACACCAAACTTGTTGGGTTGATGAAAAGAGTTCTGGGAAATTTAGAAAAAATACCTAAGCTAACTCAAAGCTCTGTTACTCCTTGTTTTTCACTGGAATTCTCAATTTGCTTTGACACATAGTATTGGTTACATAGTAACTCCTGAAATGTATTACATAGGTTACATGGTTACATAGTAACCAATACTATGATGTATTTGAACGTTATTAATGAACATTCCTGTTGGAAAAACAGTATATTTGTATACATGCATTTGAGCAGAAACCTGCTTGGTTTTATAATGTTACATTACGTTGAAAGTTAAACTGCACATTAATTGTTTGTGTGTTACAGTTGGTACAGCAACAGCAGCAGTTTTTATATGTGCCAATTTCAAAGAGTGTGTTATTACTCACTGACAAAAGTTAACTTCAGAGGGAAAGAATCAAAAGCAAATGTCAAATCTGCGAAAACTGCATATTCAAACCGTATTTCACTGTACATTTTTCATCACGAGTAACAAAACAAGAGCAAGTGAACAAGTGTTTTTTTTTTACAGTCGCTTTATGACAAAATTAGAACGCAGCTGATTGTTGGAAGAACGCTACAAAGTCAAAGGTTTGGTTGTGTATTCTTCCCTGTAGGTGGTGCTGGAGGGGCGATGAGCCAGAGGAAACCTGATGTTGCTCTATGATTAACAGAAAGTGACAATGTCGTATTATCATACATATACAGGTTCTCTCATTACTAAGTGATGAGAAATATAAAGACCCATAAGCAAAGAGACATGTGTACGGAGCATTATTAAACGCCCATCACGACCGACCACAAGTACAGTGCATCCGGAAAGTATTCACAGAGCTTCACTTTTTCCACATTTTGTTATGTTACAGCCTTATTCCAAAATGGATTAAATTCATTATTTTCCTCAACATTCTACACACAACAACCCATAATGACAGTGAAAACTGTTTTTTGCACATTTTTGCAAATCTGTTAAAAATAAAGAACGAAAACATAACTTACAAAACCAACTAACTTGGAGATGAGGGATGATTATTATTTCTAACTACTATTTGGATCCTACTATAATAAAAAAAACTACTGCTACTGTTACTTTCGCAACTAAACCAATGATTACCAACATTTTTTCTTTCACCGTGTGCTGAGGTGGACATAGTCCGCGGGTCTTCAAAGGCACATCGTAAGGGTTTGTATTGCTGGCTCTCAACGTGTGTTCATCGGTCCATCTAAATGACGCAGCGTAGGTCGACTCTCTCTCTATGATCTTCAAAGGATCACTAAAAACCACTGAGGAGGCCTGAAGAAAGACAATGAGGATAACAGTCATTTCTGGAGCACCTCATGCCACTATCATATTGTTATTTTCAACTACTACTTGGCTAGGACAACAACGGCTACTGCTGCTACTGTTACTGTAGCAACTAAACTGATGATTACCAACATTTTTTCTCTCACCGTGTGCTGAGGTGGACATAGTCCGCGGGTCTTCAAAGGCACATCGTAAGGGTTTGTATTGCTGGCTCTCAACGTGTGTTCATCGGTCCATCTAAATGACGCAGCGTAGGTCGACTCTCTCTCTATGATCTTCGAAGGATCACCAAAAACCACCGAGGAGGCCTCCAGATAGACATTGAGGATACCAATCATTTCTGGAGCACCTCATGCCACTATCATATTGTTATTACTACTTGGCTAGGACAACAACGACTACTGCGGCTACTGTTACAATTTAATTGACAGCAGTGTCATTTTGAATTTATCTCTCACCTTCTGCCTGGACAGGTAAGGTGTTCCTGTGGGGGTCAAAGGTGGGTCATCTGTCTTGGTGGTGCTGGTGCTAAACTTGTAGTCTAACAAACAGATGAAAAGCAGTTAACGTCTACAGGTTCCTCTCTTTAAACACACAAATAGAACCTATCCATCACTTGGTCTACTCAGTACGTGGAGCGACACGTGGACGACTGACGTGGCCCGCTCACCGTCCGGTTTCCTGTAGTGATCCTTGGCCGTGGTCGTGTAGTACAAGCTGGACAGATGGGATTGGCCAAACTGTACATGGCTCTTGGTTATCCGGTCGGCCCCGGGCTTCAGGAAGAACACAAATTAAAGCTAAAGCTGTTCATTGTTGATAAAGCAAATTATTCCAATGCTATTAGAAATACAGAATCAAATAAGTATGCAGAAAATGTTGTTCTCACATCAGAGAAGGACGTTCTGTGGCTGGTCACAGGCATTCTCTCTTTGTGGCCCTTGTGTAATAACCTGGAATATTATCAGTGTTCCTGCCGGGATTTGAAACACTGAGAATGATTAATAGAGAAGCATTTTAAATGTATTTCAATGTTATGTTATCTAAGTTTGATTGGTTATGAATGTACTGTATATAAAACAGATTTACAAATTGTCAAAAAAAAAAAAAGTAAGGTAATTCTAAAGTCACACACATTCTTCACCTCATGCACAATGTTCATTATAGACAGCACAAAACTTTTGGGGACCCCTTAGTATTTGAAGATCCCATCTTCACCAAGGGAGATTAAAATAATACATCGGAATTGACAGTTTGCAGGAACAAAACAAAACAAAAAATCTGGACAGAAATCACTCACCAAGCTGTTGGTGGCAAAAGTCTTTTCTTGATGTGGAAGTTCACGGTTGAGCTTTAAACATTCCTTCAACACAGGTGGCCTGTTTCAAAAAATCCTATTAGTGCTTTAATAAATATTCGTGTGGGGATACAGTCAGCTCTAGTTCATTTGGGCTTTTAAAGAGTGACAATGTTAATTCAAATGTTTTTTTTTAAAGCTTTTGAGTCAATCAAATAACAATTTCGACTCCAGGCTGACAGTGTTCGTCCTCCGGGTCATCGCGTGTCTTCCCTTAGCGTGCAGACAGCTTGACTCTGAAGGCAGAGACAATGGCTTATCTGGAGCAGCTGAGTAGTTAGGGTCATTCCTTACTTGACTCCTGTGCCATGTCAAATGGAAGAATTATACCAAGGAAGGGATAGAAATATATAAGACTATAAACATGTATTTTATGTTCAAACTTTGCCATTTCTGAGAAAAAGATGCTTCAGTGCAAGCTATTAAAGACCAACTCACATGTTTTACTCCAGTCAAAGTGGTGCAACAATAGAGAAATAATCATTTCAAGTCCTGCTGTCAAAATTAATTGATGTGATATAGTTTCAGTGGAGTATAAAGGTCAACATCCCCCCTTAAATGCAAGACCAGTTCTTAAGTTCGGAGGTGACACTGTTTTAGTTGAAGATTTGCTAATGCATCAGCAGCTCATTGGATGACAGAAGTTATAGGCAGGATTGTGCTGTAAATTAAATCTGATCTCAAGCTGAGGTTGAAATGGCTTCCAGTGCTTCGTGGAGTGGACATTATTGTGAGAATTCTTCTTTTTTTTCATTGTGAATTTTCCCGTGAGATTCTGCAGATTTTCAATCAAGCAATGGAGTGTTTGTTAGGTGTTTAAAAAAAAACATTGATCATGATAGCGCAGAGCAAACATCTACCACTGTTTTACCTTCTCCACAGGTGTAGCCACTCTGCTCCAGGCTCACCTGCAAGGTGCTGTTGTAGTAAGAAAAAAACTGTGAAGTACTTGATGTGTATCAAGTCCTGAGCCCTCGAAAAAAAAGACCTTGTTGGAAGACAAGGTCTGGAAGTCCTCCTGGTGACGTGTTAAAAAATGATGTGGATTACTCGTCTGGAGATGTGAACAGGAGGACGTCTTTGCCTACAGGCCGAGCGCAATAAAAAAATGTTTACCACTGCAATTATATTGGATACCGCCAGCATCCACTTTACGTTACTGTAACTCTTTGGTCATGTAATAATGCAGCAGATGAAAAAATACAACAATGCCTCACCATAACAACCTCCATGCTGTGGAACCCAATGATGTTGCTCCTGCAGAGACTTGAATGCCTGCCATGGTGTCCTATTACCTGGCCAGGTCCGATGAATTGACAGGGAACTCAAAATCATCATTTTATTCCATAACTAGATCACAAAAATAGATCATCAGACATAAGTAATAACTTGGCAGAAAATAATACAGTTTTCCTGTTTTGCAGACCTTGTAGTGACACTATCTGTTTTTGCTTGTGTTACTAAACGGCAGCTTGATATACATTTCCTCACCGATAAAAACAGACCATGTACTTGGAATGGACAAGTATTGTCAAGATTTTGCATTACCTCAGATTAACTGAAAATATCACTTTGCAGCATGATTCTTCAGGAATTTGAGCACAATATACTTCCACAACACGACACTAGGTGTCAGTCAAACTTGGTCCAGCCACGTACACATAGGCCCACCGCAGCGAATCCCCGACACAATAAACTGCGTTCAAAAAGTAAGGCAGTTACGTCTTCAAAATTCCACTTAATAGCGTTTAACCACTTTTATCTATAAGCTATTTGAAGATCCACAAATATGTTCAAAGGGAATAATATTGCTCAATTTCGCCGTCCTCGCTCTATTTTTGTGGAATCAAATTTGTAATATACATAGTTTGTCTAAATAAGTTGTGATATTCAAAATAATACACTTTTTTATATCTATTTTTCAAATCCACACTGGGATTTTATTGCCATAGAAACCCTTGAGGAAGTGACGTATGTCAGCGTCAGCCTCGTCCGCTCTCTTTTCGTCGAGGCTCAGCTAGCGGCCGGGTGGGTACACGATTTGTCCAGCACCTATTTATTCATCTCTAGCGAAAGTGGTGGTTTTATGCGATTAGGACCACACGTTGCTTGCCGTGTATTGATATTGGATGTGTTGTGAACGTTGTGGGCCGACTTCGAATGCAGAAAGACGAGTAAAACGCTGTGAGCGCCACGCTAACCGTACGCATGTGGCGAGGCCTCGCACCGAGACCCTTCTGCTGCTAACCATTGCTAACGCAGCGGTAGCTGCTAATCCAAAGCTAGCGCGATCTCTCGCGGTTATTTATAACGTTAATCGTTACGGAAAAGGGGAATAACCATTTGTGAATGCCGGGTCTGCGTTGTCGCTGACTTTGTAGTGAAAGATGCCGGGCGTTTCGTTGGTTAGCAAGCTGGCTAACGTCAAAGTTAACGTGCCAACTCGGAAGCTAACGACAGTTTGTCCTCTTTCCAGCCAGCAAACATGCAGATCTTCGTGAAGACGTTGACGGGGAAGACCATCACTCTTGAGGTCGAGCCCAGCGACACTATCGAAAATGTCAAGGCAAAGATCCAGGACAAGGAAGGTGAGCAGTCCCATTCAACGCCAATCGCTTCCCCTCTTTTCGGAGTTGGTGGTCTATGGACTAAAAATGTATTTTTCAAAGTGTGTCAGAACAGTTGTATAATTACAGTATTGGTAGATCCGTTGCTGCATTTCAGAAACTGACCTACTTAAACGTTTGAGCCGTGTGAGGTGTGGTTAGTCTGGTTAGGCAATTTATTTGCTTAAATGCTGTTGATGAAACGTTGAATGCATCTTGGTTGGTCCATGTTGTTTGCAGGCATCCCTCCGGATCAGCAGCGTCTGATCTTCGCTGGCAAGCAGCTTGAGGATGGACGGACACTGTCTGACTACAACATCCAGAAAGGTAACAAGTTCAATTTAAATCCAGGCCAGCAGTGCCTAAGCTGCTTAGTCAAAGTAAACTTTTGCAATGCATCTCGTTAATCTCAAATGATCTAGTAGAGAAGGTTTTCTTTCTTGCCTTTTTTGTAGATGTGAATGTTGAGATTAACATGTTTTAATTGCCAATCAGAATCCACTCTGCATCTGGTTCTGCGTCTGCGTGGTGGCATCATCGAGCCTTCCCTCAGACAGCTGGCCCAGAAATACAACTGCGACAAGATGATCTGCCGCAAGTAAGTCTTATTCTTTCTACATAATGAATGATTTCTACATCTAAAGTGTACATTACTGCGCTGATTCACGGGACAGTAATGGAACACACCTGGTAAAGTATCATATTCCAGTGAATGGTTATAAAGTCAAATGGAATCTTGCTGTTATTTGATTAACTAGTGTTCCTGGTTAAATTTCTCAGCGAAACACTGCAGCTTTGGGTTTAGTATTGACTCTATTTCAATGACTTGTTTGCTAATCTAAGTCAGATACCCTCAAATTTAGTAATTTCAAAGTTTGTTTAAATTTGTGATTACCAGAAATATTTTTTTTGGCGGTTTAATTTGGTTCAGCAGAAATTCTTAGTTGTCCATGATCTCTTGTTTTGCAGGTGCTATGCCCGTCTGCACCCCCGTGCGGTTAACTGCCGCAAGAAGAAGTGTGGACACACCAACAATCTGCGCCCCAAGAAGAAGCTGAAGTAGACATTTTGGCTGAATGGGTTCTCTGCCATTTTTTGTTCAAATAAATGTAAGAAACTGCCTGTCTGACTTGAATTATTCAGGAACCGGGGGGGAAAATGAGGCTCTGTGGCCAATTTAAACTGCACAGAAACCTGCTTTTTGAGACTTTGGTTAGTTGAAACTGATCAACGTTCCAAGATTCTGTCAGATACAGTACAAGACATGGTAGCCCTCCCAGCGCACAAAGACCACAGCCGTGACATTGGATGATTTTAATGTTAAACAGTTCTATACAAATATATTTCACAATATCAAATACCAAACTACCACTCCCATTCAGTTTGTAAAATGACAACACAGCCGCCTTGAAGTGAACATGTCATGTTACCAATCCCTCGATGAAACGCACCCAAATTATGTATTTTAAATCAAATTTTACACTGAGCTGTTAAAATCATGACTTAATGTAAAATATGAGGTGTCCTTCAGCATAATGCAGCAGTTTATTCCAGTTGCTGCTTTTGCGTGATGGTGGTGCGTCTTTGGTACTAGTAATCTTTAAAAAGGCATTCTAGTGTGTGTGTGTGCTGTTGGTGGTACGAATGTACATCACTAACACTTAAGTTCTCGATACACAATTAGATCTATGTCCCTTACTATTAGAAAATGAAGACACCCGAGCATAACCGTAGACACTTCCATGTGGTTTGGTACATGTACCCATTGATCCAGAGGTTTCACACTGGTCCTTTTCTGTGTACACAGGAACCACTCTGTATTTACACTAATGCATGAATGAGAAGTGTTTCATCAACTTTGAGGAGCAGATGGGCTCCACATTTCCTTCATGCTTAATAGGCTGGAAGGAATTTAATATCTAGTGAAGCGGGGGGAAAGCACAAGAACAGGCTCTGCAGAGGTTTGATTACTTATAAACTGCTTATATTAATCAAACAAGCATCTATGCCATAAACGTTATTGCTAATGTAGCGGTGCTAGCATTTAGCAGCTGTTTAGAACTCCGTTGTGCCGTGTGAAAATGAAAAACAATCCTAATTTACTGAAGGTACAATATAAACTCGTAATGTGAGCATAGCAACATCATGCAGTAACATTAACTGTACTCGACTTGTTGGACTGAATACGTGATATTCTGTTAGGTAAGAGAAAAGTACTTAAGCTATAATATAAGTTGTGGTTAAAAGTAAACCAACAGTTGAAAATAGATCCCATTCCAAGAAATAAATCGCAGGGAACACAATCACAGGCACGACTGACAGTTACTGCATCATTGCCTAAAGATTATTTGTCATGCTTATTTGAAGCAGAGCTACTGTGCATCAGATGGACACATACAGCTGACAGGTCAGTCTATGAAGTACCTACTTGCGAAACTACTGCACTTGTGCTTTTAATCTCTAGCTGTCTCCTGTTCTACGCTGCAAAATACTGTGTGGACACACGCACCTCAGTAGTGCTCTGCAGAGCTCTCATAATCTCTCCTGTGTGGCTCCGCTGAGCCTCTCGAGGGTTATTATTATTACTATTATGGTAAATGATCGTGTGGAGCAACACCGAAAAAGTACATGAAGTACAACTTGATCATTTTGTGCACAATCGACGCATGTAAACAAAATCAAACTTGGCACAATCTTCATCAAGTGCAATCGCAGGCTCAAATCAACAGGGTGAAAACGCAAACTGTCCACTGACCACAGTGACGCATCTGAAGCTTTACTTAAAACACTGACCTACCGGTCGATGTGGCCTGGAGGACAAACCTGCCACCTGCAGCTTGAATTCAGCAGAAATGCATCTTGTAGGCGCCTCTGAATGCCCATCCTGACTGTGAATAACCCATCAATAGATTTAAAGTGGTGAGAAAAGACCAATCCTAATAAAACACGAACAACAAAAAAACAAGAGGTATGCTGATGATCCTCAGAGGACAAAATGAGAGCAGGTTGTTGCATCTCTTGCGTTGGTTGATGTTCTGGCTGGCGTTAGACCAGCCCAGGTTGCTGATGGTGAACTGGAACATACTTTATTCAGGCTCTTTGCCTCATTGAGTCCTTATACTGACCAAAAACTCCCACTGGGTGCATCTCCACAGTGTTAAAGGAAGGGTGTCACATTAACATGAACTCGGGGGTTGCTATTGTGCAAAAGCAGACATTTTACAGGTATAGCTAGTCTTTATTTTAGTGTCTGTAAAGGTTTATTTTACAACCATCTGAAATCCAGATAGGGGTCCTGCTGTAACACAAGTGCAGTTTTATGGTCTGTGCTCAGTCGTGGTCGAATAGTAGACCTCGCAGGAACAGCGCTGCCATTTTCTTTTGAGTCCTTTCTGCTTTTAGTGCTAGTCTGCCTTCTTAATTGAGAAAGTCATTACCCGAAACACACCAATAAGTACAAAAGGCTTTGATACTCGTTGAAATGACCACTTTTGCAAAATAGCAAGCTTAAACTCAGTGATGGGTCCTTTAAAACGACGCTTTTTATTATTTCATACCAACTAATCTTTAATTCAATACTTTTGAGACAAGAATAATACTATCCTAAACAATTTAGTCCATGACGGAAAAAGCCATCGGCTTGGTAACATTTTGACAAAATACACTGGATTGTTACGGCCTGAGAGAGAAGAAGCTCTTGCAGAACATATTGATCAAAAGCTTTTTGGAGAGTTGAATGATGTCAGATGGTGAGTAAAAAACTGCTGTAAATACATCATCTGCAGGGCCTAAAAAGACATTATGCTGATGGGAATGTGGAAAAACAAGTAGTAACCAGTCAGATCACACTGTAGTGTTTTTGATAAGCACACCAAATTTACAGTGTCAATGGGACTTTTTATTCTGGGGAATAACACCGTGCGACGCCTACTGTTGCATTTTTGCTCTGCTGATGAACCAGTAAGACACAAATCAAGGCCACACGGTGGAACCTGTGCTGACTGTGGAGATGCAGCCCACCTGCACCTGTGGCTATTTGTCGATGAGCTTTGCGAGGCTCTGTCTCAAGTCGCTCAGGTCGCCGATTTTCACATCAAGGACGTCGATGACGCGTCGGACCTCGACCTCCGAGTGGCTCTGCTCCTCCCGGCTCGACTCCAGCGTCTTCTCAGCACTCTGCACCCGCTCCTCCAAGTCAGCGTTTTGTTTCTCCAGATCCTGCAGACACATCAACTGTAAATGCAGCTCTCTCATCTGGACTTCTGTCTGAAGTCAGCTCTGCTGGTTCTCATTGTGGTTTGCGTTGTTAGCACCTTTAGCTGAAAGCACCAGCTGATGCCATGTTGAGAGATTGTGTACAGGCTGTTGAAATTCCCTCAAATGTCAAATAGCACCTTTTAATGGAAATGTAAAATGACTCTCCTTACGCCACTGCCGACTGCTTGAATGATGAATATATGAACAGAGCGGTTGAAATATGAATATACATAATTCACGACTGACACCACCACTAAAAGCGATAAAGGACCCAATTAAGGCTGTGCAATATGCATCAGGTACGACCTCCTGCATTAGCGTGGAGGTTCAGTACTATGCGTTTTCTCCTTGAAGTACAAAGTCCCCCTGTACTGATTCTCTGCTGCACATCTGATCTGTGTGCTCACTGTTACCGGCACAGTATGAGACCTTTGATTTTCCATCAGCGAGCTTTGGGCTTCTGTTTGGCTGCAGAACAACAGAATACAGCTGGTAAGCCGGTCAGCACTCGGCAATGCTTCTGTGTCTCTTCCTGCAAGGAAGCTCCAAGACCTCAGATATCAAAAGGTGACCAAGACCACAGGACGATGGGAAGATGTTAAAAAGAAATGTAACACAGGGAGGATGAAATACACCATGAACATTTCTGCCATGAAATCACAAAAACAGCTTGTACTAGCAGGCGAGACTCTTTTCAAGACTGAACTGGTGACTTAAGAACTGAACAATTTGACAACTGAATTGAAAGCATTAAATGGCAAAAAAAGATGAAACGCTTCAAATTCCTGTCCTTGAAGTTGTTTTCTTACCGTAAAACAAGTAACAACGACAACGTGAGGAGAGACAATTTGTGCAGCAGTGCCACCAACTAGTTCCACTCATCATGCTTTATAATGGCCAAGAAAATCAAAAGGTCTGCTAAAAAGTCTCTCTTCCAAGTGTTAGAACTCCTCATGACTTTGACACACAAAAGGCTCAATTATTCTCTCCTCAAAGCAGCTATGAAGGAAAATGCAGTGCAGTATGTGCCAATTCTCAGCAACCAAAGAAAGCACCGCTGAAAGCAACAACACCCTCGTCCTCTTACCTGGAGTCTCTGCATGGCCGCTTCTCTTTCCTTCTCCAGCTCACGCACATCGGTTTTCTTGCTCTGTAGATTGTGAATTTCCTTAAAAAAAAAGAAAAAAGAAAAATTCTGAAACTGTCGCAATGCCCCTGTTCACACCCCTTTCTCCAAAAATCATCCACCCCTGTTCACCAGATGACAGACATTCGTCCTGCATTTCATGTGGTCATTTATCAGGGGCCGATGAGCTGTGTGCCACCTCGATGTTTCCAGTGAGGCCTTTCAGCCCCCGATGGCCAACGATCATTCACAGCTCACAGAGACGGTTCCGTTAATGAGCCTGGAGGACAGGCGCGAGCACCTTTCAAGGAATAATTTCCTTTGATATCTTATTAATCCAAAGAAAAATAGGCTTTGGCCAAGGTGCACAGCAACAGTTAGGAAACGGAGTAAAAAACCCTGATTTGACTCAACACGCAGTTGGCCGCTTTGGACATTTGGATCTGGTCTCATCAGGTATAAATGCTGTGGTATTTTATAAGCACCAAACTAACCCTTCCACAAAAAACAATTACAGTGCCGTGAAGATAAATTAGGGATTTAATAGACACAAGAAGTGAAAGCACATTTTTCCATTTAGTAATTGCCTCTTGATTGAGATAAAAACAAGATTACCGAACCAGAAAAAAAGTGTGTTTTCTTTTGTGTATAAGTTTGTCATATTGAGTCTGCTATGTTGCATTGCCATGTTTTCCACAGATTGTCGGTCAGTACTCGTGGCCTCGGTTGACTGATTGATTGATTGATTGATTGGGTTAGTCATGAGACAGTCACAATAGCAGGATTTGTAACACTGACAAACCGAACACCAGCTCCAGATGGGGATATTTGCGTTGTACACGTTGGCACGCTCGGGAAGTTTCTTTTGCACAAAGCGACCTCACCGCTAGATGCCACTAGATCCTCTTTAAAGATGATTTAGAGAACAAGTACTCCATCTGGCCCTTAAATAAATTAACTTCAGATGGAGATGAAGGCGCTATTTTCACAAGCATGTTGATTACTGGCAACATTATTTAAGCTGTTGTAGGAGTGAACTGGCTCCTTTAGTATGGTAAATGGATCCGGGCAGCGTGAGATGGATTGACTGAAGCGGTCTTGCCTGATCTTTGGCACTCAGCAGGGCTTCCAGCTCCTCCAATGATCGACTCAGCTCCTCCGTCTGACCAGCAGCAGGATGTCCCAGCTGAGCCTCAAGCTCTGCCACCTTCAACACACACACACACACACACACACACACACACAATTAATACGTACCCAATAACCTAAACCTAATAAGAAAAACCCATTTTACAGGATTACAGGAGTTTACGGTCATGCCAACAGCCCTCCGATTACGGGACAATGTTTTTAGTAAACAATGTTCTCATTTGGAGCCCGATGATTAACGTCAGCAGAAGCCATGACATCAAAGACGCTGAACAACTCTGTCTTTCTGTCACACTGAATTAAGCACGTCTTGCCACATTAAATACATTTTAAGTGGATCTGATCTGAAGGCGTCTGGTGTGGGTAAAAAGAAAAGGATAAAGATTGTAAGGAGTACAAGGAGAACTCCTCATAGCAGCTATCCAACATAAGAGGTCCATTAATCTCACTTCAGGTGTCATTCTATGAATCCAGAAAACACCACGAGGCAGTAATGTACATGTACAATGATGCAAATATACAAATACTTTGTTGCTTTCCTTAGTTTCCATCTGTAGTTATCAGACGGTCATCGCCTACCTGCCTGCAGACATTTCCATCTACACACAGTAACTCATTCCTTCCCTGATCCATCTAGAATCACACACATAAACGTTGTGGAAAAAAGTATTTCCTGCCAGTGGCCACAAGGCTGAACTCGCTTTCCCTCAAGACTTTTTTTCTGAAAGGAATGTGACCTTGTAAAAAAACCCATGACACAAACTCATGACGATTCACCGTTCCCAATCTAAACCAGTTCTTCTGTTCAACATGTCAATGGAAAAGCGAACGACTACAGACGTCTGACTAAACAAGGACCAAGTGTTCAGGTTTGTACTGAAAATGTGTGAAAGTATCAGATTTCTTTGGGACGCGCTCATGTAACAGAAATCTAAAACAGACGGATTCAAATCGGATGCCTCAGCGCTCCTTAGTTTGTGCTCCGTTGACGTTGGTGACGCAGGGATCCCCACAATGCTCGTTATCCATGTCAAATATGTAAATGTGTGACGACATCCTGCTTCCATGTCCAATGTATTTTCCCTCCCTTCAGCATCTCCTCTGCATTTTCACAGACAATTTCAAAGTGTCTCTTTGTAGATTCCACGCTACACCACGTTACGGGACTCAGCCCCTTTCACAGCTTCTGTCCCCGGAGGCTCCAGCTCCACGTCCAGGAACTCCAAACAAATGCACATGGAAAAAGGAACCTGAGATACGCGCAAAAACTCTGATTTCTCTCTAAAGTTATGTAACAAGGAAAGTTTTAATCTCAACATATGGACGGGAGAAAACGGTGGTGTTGTGTGCGTACACGTAGTTATCTATGTGTCTAGGAGGGAAAAGCAGCAAAAAAAAGTCAATTCAGTAAATGGATCATCATTAGGCTTTTGGCCAACTGCATTTGCAGTAAGTTATTACTCAAAAAAATACTCTGCGTTGATAATTTAAATAACTGTTAATAGCAGTTTTCCTTTAAATAGGCTGCATTAGATAATAGCAGAAGTAACAGATCAACGGGACTGTTTCATGAGGATAAAGGATTTTGCATCAGTGATATTGATTAAACTGATGATCATTAAAATGTGGTATTCGATCAAAATTACATGTCTTGTCTGGTAATGCTTTCAGAAATAGCTCTCAATAGATTTTTCAGACCATTCCTCATGTGGTAAAACAAATACTGTGATAGAGGATTTTATTCTTATCACCCAGTGCCAGGACTACCTACCTTCTGTCCTGCCTCAAATACACAATAACCATATAATTGTACAGCTTTGATGGAGGCATACGCTCTCTGAACTCCCTATAATTCAGACAGATGGAAACTAAATGTTTATTTATGGAATTAATTTTGTTCGGCATCTAGAATTTTTATTCAAATCCACAAATTGCAGCTGCCAAAAAATCCCTGAAACCAAGATGTTTAAGACATTACAATTAATTGGATGGAAATCAAATTTCCTTCTTATTATATATTTGTATTATAGTTTGGATAGGTGTTATTGGTTTCATACATCATAATTCCAAATAAAAGTCTAGTTAAAAGTCAAATTAATTACTTAAAAAATAAAAAAAATAAACATGAAAGTACACAAAATCCTATGGAAGGAGCCATAATCAAATACAATCATACAACCTAACTAAAACACTTTATGCGCTGCCAAATCTGAGCAGCATCAGTCAACCCAGGATTTAAACCGCCGGCTGTGGCTGAAGCAATGTGTGACAAGGGAGAGAAGCAGCAGTCTCTTCTTCTCCACATACCAGGATGCATATTTCATTCTCTAAATGGGGCAGAGACGAGGAGGGGGGCATAGCAGACAGTATAGGGTGTCCTGTAACCCCCCCATTCCCTCTCTACAACACCCCTTTGCCAAATCCCTCGGGGCCTGTTCTACTTCATGCCACCTGGTTGACTGCTGCAGTGTGTGTGTGTGTAAAACATTCACCTGGACTCATTAGATAAGATAGATAAACCCACAATGGGGTATGGGGACATATTTTACACTCGCGAAATCCATGTATAATAGTCATCACAAATTTGTCTAAAAAGGCTTAACAATTTACAACAACTAACAAATTTGAACCTTCCATGCTGATTGCTAAAGAGAAAAACTGTACAAAGACTTGAAGGGAAAAATAGTGGCAAGAATAAGCACTGTATTATGAACTGCAGGTAACCATGGCGACAATGATGCTCAATGCTATTCTCTGCGGTGAAAGAAATCTTAAATGGATTAAGCAGATTAAATTAATTTTTCCTCATAGCTACTACGGCTTGTTGTTCATTATGATTTACACGGCTTATTGCAAACGGTTAGTCGTGCATCATTTGCAACCACCACAAATTATTTGGTGACACAAAAACTGGGGCCTCAGAAATGACCATACACCTTCCCAGCGGCATCATTAACCAATGAATGTACCTTCGCTAAGTTGCCGCACTTTGAAAACAGACACGCTGAGATTGTCCAGCTGTGACCCGGGTCTGACAACTACTCGGCGCGATCTGCTTCTACTTCAGGGCGGTTCAGTGGCGCTTTATAGTGATGAGCCTCAGGGATTTCCTCCCTACGTCACCTGGTCTCTGAGGCGATCGGTCTCCTCCTGGTATTCAGCCAACTGTTTCTTCCACTGATCCACACTGCTGTTGGCTTCTTGCAGTGCTTCTACCAGCTTAGAGTTACTATCCTGCAGGGTGAAGAGCTCCGCCTCCAGATTTATCTCACACATGGACCTGAGGGGACAAGTCACAAAAAACGTTATTCATTTTCGAGTGGTGCTGCGGACGGTTTATCAGAGCGCCTTAACTTAAAACCACTTTAACATTTCACACATTCATTTCATCTTTTAAAAGCAGCACAAATCATTTTTTTCTTTTAAGAGACGGGACTGAATTACTCCGTTATAAGAAAAGTTTCCTTCCACGGACTCGTTTTTACCCAAATTATTCAATTATTATTATTTCTCAACTATTCGGTTTCTCTTTCGTCATGGTCTTGGTGCGCTCCCTGCACGGGGTTACCATGGTCGCAAATGAAATAAAGCAACACAACTGAAGTGTTATCCATCATCAACGAGTTCAGGATTCAGTGCAGATATTTTATAAACCAGAGAGATTTTACAGCGTGACGACCAAACTAACTGCTCGGCATCCTTAAAAATACTCACCATAGCAACAGGGATAAAAAGCCTGCCATTCCGCGGTCCATAAAATAAAACGGTCAGGATAACAGGTTGTAAAGCGGCTGGATGGGAATGTTTCTTTGCTTCCTGGTCTCAAATGGAAGGTTAAGTGATGAATAATGACCACCATGTTGATGATAATTAGACGCTGCTAAATTCAGTGCAGTTCGGACCCAACTGGCCTCAAGACATGGACACTCAGACACAACCACACTAGTAGAGAACCATGGTTGTAAAAAATACTTTTAGATTTGATTACTGATTTTCTAGAGAGCTTGAAGTGAGCTTTCCTTACACTCGTGTCTGTGATGGTATGAAAGAAAAACTGGAGGAGAACGGGGCACAATCTAACACTTCAAGAGTTTGGGATTCCTTCATTATCTATTAGGAATGAACACATCATACCAGCAGGTTTTAAATTTATATGGCAGTAAAAATGTTCTTTAGCCTTGTCCTGTTATTTTCTCCCCAATCATTCTTTTTTTTCCCTTCTTCATTTAATCTCTGTGCACTTCAATATTTAGCTTCGGAGTTGTAAGAGACCAAAAACGGAGTGAAATATCCGTCTCTTTAGCCGCCAAACGTTCCACCCGGTTCCAGCTTGTCGATAACGGAGTTTGCTGTTTTTGGTGCTGAGCAGTTAGAGACTTTTAACAGCAGCTTGCTGTGGAGAAAAACAACCCTTTGAGATTAAACCAAACACTGTGGTTGGACAGCTTTAAAATGATTTGAACACGTTATAAAGCTCTGTAAAGTTGACATGAGCTGCATATTAAGTTCTCTGTAAATGCTTAGTCTCAGAGGCGGGAATATAAGGCTCCTCTCTGCTGCAGGCTCAGCTGACTGAGACACACATATTCTAGTTCATAAATACTTCAATAATTAAAAACGGTTTCTGCAATCAGTTATGGTACGAGTCACTTTTTTCTTCTTCCAAAAGCAGCTTTCATTTCCTAAAGACCCCCACAGTTGTAGTGTGTCTGCATGTGCGTTTCATCTGTGGATAACGGTGTGTTTTAATGGGCAATAAGATGACGTCATGTTTTCCGCTTTGTTTAATGGAAATCTCAGCGGTTTGTCAGCAGCTTTCAGGGAACTTTGGTGAAAAGTCGAGCCATGGGAGTTTTTCTCACAAACTGCTAAAATCCCTAGAAGCAATTCTAAAAAATGAGTAGTGATGCAGATAGATAGTATAAGTGTATTACTTCATCCAGTGTGTACAACGCGTTTCTAATTAGTTCCACTTTCAACAGTAGAATAATCTTGCATGTATTTGTTAGTGATAACAGAATTATTTAGTGTTCTGTAATTATAGAACGTCTTATAAAGCAGAATGGCTCCTTTCAGAGTACTGAATTTACTTTTACTTAACTGAAGGATAAAAATAAAATAAAAAAAACTTTTACCCTTCAGACAGCATCTTTTTGACCCTCTCCTTCTCCGCCGTCAGCTCCACTTCAGCACTCCTGCTGCGGAACAGCTTTTCCTCGCCGGGCCCGTTGACTGTGAGCAGCGGGGGAGAATGTCGCTCTTCTGACAGCTGCTGGACCAACGACACAACCAGGACGCCGTCAGGACACGAGCGCGGTTATGAAGTCGAGACTGAAATCAGCCGCAGCTCTGTCAATACGTTAGTTTCAGTCTGTGCCAGAACATTTTGTGCAGGTGTTAAAATGTAAATCCTAATCAACTACTCCTTTTGAGAGAAACGTGTTAAAATATGTCAAGAGACCCATAAACTAAAATGAGGTTCATGTCCAGGGAGCAGAGGAGCTCAGCTGTCTTCTCATAAAAGGTTTCCCCATTCATAAGGTCTGTGTGTAAAGAACGGATACGCATATTCTGGTGAATCAGCTGTATACGATGGGAATAGGACTTTTTATTCAGTCTTAGTTGTTGTCGTTTAGATGCCAATGCAACTAACAAAATCCTTTAAAAATACTGCCAATACGATAAGTAGTATTTTAGTCAAATGACATAAAGACATTATTTATTCTGCTAGGGGATATATTTTGGTGGAGAGTGAAGTCCTAATTATCCAACGTGGAAGACCATTTATTCAGAGGCCTCTTCTCCACCAGCTTTTCCAGATTTAATCGTTTTAAGCCAGTGATTCGTTATTTGGGACTGTATTTTGTCCCTTGGAAATATAGATGTTAAGTTAAGATACCTTACAGCAGGCTTTGCGTTTGTTTCTTTAGGACTGGCCTGCACCATGAATGAGAGTGAAATAAAGTGAATGGTGATACAGTACAAGAGTTGTTTTAGTTCCTCTCACGTCCAAAAGAGACGTTGAATACAACGTACTACAGCGTGCGGATTGCTTGAGTGCAGCCTGGCACAGCAAAGTCCAACCAATCTGCTTTTATATTTTTCCTTCTCTCCTGCCCAGAAAGGGGATCAAGTTCCTTTCACGGAGTTTTGAGAACCATTTTCCTCAGTTTGAGGCTGGAGGCTCTTTTGTTAAAGCATTCAGATGAATTAACTCTCACACATTCCTTTGCTCAGCGACGTTCTTCTTTCGGCGTAGTAACCGAAACCTGAACCTGTCGAGCAGCCTCGCCGAAGCATTACAACCCTGCGTAGAAAAGGATTCTATTTATTTTTGTAAGCCTGAGTGTCCCCTGAAGATGGTATGTGATCTATAGCTGGGCAGCTCTCTATCTGACCTCATGGATGAATATGGACATTGAAAAAAAAAAAAAAAAAAAGATCAGAGTCAAGATAACTCCAGTCCGGCCCCAAAGCCAAAGGATCGACTGTGCGTACCTCTAAATAATTCATACTGTAGATCATGTTTAAATCATAAATAGAATTACAAATTTACAGCAGTTTTCCCGTATGTTGTTCCCTAAGAAGCTGAGGGGAAACAAGGCAAACAAGGCACTCATGAGCACACGCCTGCGACCAACGGTTAATTAGGCAGAGTTCAAAAGGAATTTCCACTTCCAAACGGGACAAATCTCACTGCTCAACGTTCTCGGGGGATATTCGAGCTCATCGTGGAAGTCTGTCGTCTGGATCTTCCCAATTTTTATGAATTTCATTCCAAATGCTCTGCATGTCGCCACATTTTGAGAGACTGTACCGACTAAATTAAATCTAAAGCTTTGTAGCCGCGGTTGACAAAGGTTTTACTCTTTTGTAGCATCAGCGGTGCTTTGAAGCCAAATTTGCTCTGAAGTCAACTTGGATGAGACTCCAGATTAATTATTGAGCTAGACGGTCCTATGCAATGATGATACACATGACTAGGAACACTGCAGTCCCTGGGACAAAAGAAGATGGTCTTCTTTGTACTTCCATTTTCATAATAGTTTTCTGGAATGTGTGTTTTTACGCACCTGGGAGAGCTGAGGGTTGCAGACGTCCCAGGATGCATCAGGGGAAGAGCCAGATGAGAAGAAATAGGAAGGGAAGAAAAAGTAGATAAAACCTTGCTATTAATTTACAACATTACATACAGTGTCCAGTCAACAAAAGCTTTACCATCCACTAAGTTTTCAACTTTGTTTGATTATGGCTTCTGCACAGATATGGAATCCTTTTTTAAATCTGGTTTGTTTGGAGAGAATAGCAGGAGTCATGAGGAGGAGCAGAAGACAAAGAAGAAGAAAAAAAATATATATATATATATATATATTAAGAAATGATAAGAGTGACATGTGATCTCTCTGAAGAAAGCAGTCAGTTGACTTAGCAGCATCATCAATAGAGACAAAAAAAGTGTGCAATCAAATAATCTTTGGATTTTCTGTTCTTCATCTAATCGTCAGCAATGTGAAAAGAAAAAAAAAACACACCCACATGAATCCCATCAGTAAAATTAATTTTGATGTGCAAGTAGTCTTTCAGCAAAGCAACTTTTAAAGGTGTTCGGGGTTTGGAGAGGCGCGCTTTGAAATCGATGGAAACCAAGATACTTTAATATTCGACGGCTTTCCTGAGAGCTGAAGTCTCTTCACTACTGTTCATCTGAAGTACATCTACGCTGTTTACTTATTTATCCGAGCATCGGCGCATTTGCTCCCTTAGCTTTATAAAGCCTCTGTTTTCCCGTTTCACAGACACACACACGATTTATTTATTCATGTGTCCGTACATCAGAGGTACACGCTTACGTTTCCCTCCGGAGCACCGGTCCTGCCGACTCCACAACAAACAGCGGAAAACACACAGGAGAGTCTTTTTAGCTGGTTTTAATGCAAAGTCCATGGTTTTAAAATATTGATAAGGGGCCGTTCTGTGTTTCTGCCTCTCTGCCTCTGCATGGATACCATGAACGGATTGAGATGGAAGAGGAAAAAAGCTGACAAATGACAGCTGTAACCGGTCAGATGGGAAACCGCGTCCTGCTGTGTTTACACTGCCGTTCAGAGGCTTTATAGGCAGAGATGTCATCTCGTCTGCTCTCATTTATTTAGCTTTACTGTGGTTTGGGGTTGCCAACTTTTTTTGTCAGACAACCCTGTAAGTTATGATCATGAACACTATGTGTTATGTTCCAATTGTGTTTATTTTAGGTGCTTAAATTTGATTATTTATATTTATTATTATTTGCAAAAATGTAATAAGTTATTATCAAAAAAGGGGCATAATAGAAGATGGGGAGCATTTATAAGTGTCTCTCAACATGGCAAAACAGGTTGCAGCAAACAGGGCAAACCACAGAAAAAGTGATGGCAGTTTTTATTTGGTGGGAACCAGAGAGTCAGAGCAACGCGGTTTGCAATCTGCCCCCTCACAGCTAAATGATTCACATTGTATACACCATCCATCCTTTATACTATTGCATTATACAGCGCAACACATGAAAAAAACAGGACACCGGTCAACACTAAAACCCTAAATGAAGTCATATATATATATATATATATATATATATATATATATATATATATGAGAGATATATATGTATATTACATACATGGGACGAACGTTTTTTGCGTCTTTGTAAGTATCAGTTCAACAATGCGCTCTATATTGCAGTGTTTATCATTCTTCTTCTGTATCTACCCAATCTTATGTCTGAGCTCTGCAAACATGCCTGAAAGCTGACGCGCTGCTGCTGCAGGCAGATCCCCGGCTGCCATCCGCGTTTTGGAGGCAGAAAATGTGCTCTGTAAAGCTTGAGGCTGCACAAATACACCTCTGCAATACGGTGGATGGTTGCTGACCAGGAGCGTTACTGACCAGCGAGATTTAAAACAAGACAAAATACTGCAACTCCCTTCAAACATATAAACATCTTCTCATCAGATTACTATGACATATTTTCTACTTCTACCCCATTTCTTTCCTAACATTTTGCATTTTTGTCCTACGTTTAAGTCCAGCATATTTATTTAACCAACTATAAAACTTCTATCTAAAACAAATGAGTTATCTTTAATATTTCTGTATTGTGGAGAGCTTTAAAACGGTGCTGAAATGTTTCGGTACAAAAATCCACATCATCGTTAATGGAGCTTTTACGGATCATTATTAGAAACACTGGCGCTGCCATCAATACTTGGCAGTGGGTCGTACGTAAAATGACCTCATGTGCTTGCACGCCATAGTAACATTTTGTTTGGTTGTTATTTGGATTTTACACAAGTTCAGAGAGTTAAAACTCTGGTGTTTTACAACGTACAGCGGTGCGACAGAGGATGCGACGGTAACAACGGACACCTCTGTATTTACTGCCTGACACAAAATCAATGACTGTTTTCTAGATGTCGGGCCGCTTGCCTGCGTGCGTCCACCCTGCAGCTGCATCAAGGTAATCTGTCCGTCTGTTTGCTGGGCTCAGTGAGTCAGTTGGTTGCCACGGTAACTCCTCTTCTTGCTTACCTTGACCGCTGTGTGCCATTTGACTCTGCGACTTATACGGAGAACAAGCATTCACCGGGTTCCCATTTCATTTACTCACTGCAATTTATTCATTCATCATTTGGGATTTTTATACCTACACAGGTGCACCAGTGTTTTAGACTACTGCGTACACGTACACACACACACACACACACCCCAGAGTGTGTGCTAGTTGTTATATTTGTGTGTTGTAAATGTCACAAGATAAGAATAACTGTCTCGCGATCTACTCGTACTGTCACTACAAGGCGGCTTGTTCGGTCGATTGGGGAAAAAAGGCGAACGACAAAATAGTTTCTACTACAGGCAACTCTCCACTACTCACTTCTCAAAGCACACAGTTATCAAGTCCAGCGAGAAATCATGGATGTTGGCATGATAAAAGCTGGCCTTTGTCCTTTCAGCACCAGCCAGATTCCATTCAATTATATGATTCAGCTCTTCTCCCTTCTTCCAACTCCATTTTTGTGATCCTTCATTGTTCTTTCTTTCAGTCGCAGCCATTACTGCCCCTCCAAACACCTTCAGACTCAGCGTCCCTTTCTGCCGCTCTTCTCAATTTGTCATGCATGAAATCTTTTAATGGAGTTAACCGACGGGAGAATAATGGAGCAGCCAGATGGGGTTACTCCTGATCCCTCGTGATTCGGTATATGTTTAAAATAGAAACGAAGCCACGAAGTTCATTGGCGTATTACTGCTCCATTTGGTCGTATTGGCCCGGGAGGCACAGACACCATCAGGTTACTGGACCTGTTGTGCATCCTTCTTAAATACTGCGTCTAGATTTATTTTTGACAGGTTTAGAACAGCTTTCCTACCCTTACTAGCAGCGCTAGCAGCGTACGCACACAGCGGACAGAGCTCCGTTCAATGGTGACATAAAAATACATATTCTATTGCGGATTACTTATCATAACAACCATTTAGGTAAAGTGGAATAAAACTATACACAACGCACATAGTTTTATCTTTCGCCACTCCAAAATAATGGGGGTGAATGAACCTTATTTTGGTGCTCAAAGCACCTTGATACTCAAAATAAGAAACAATGTCCAATTACTCAGAACCCCCTTGTTGGCCGTTTTTAAAATTGCATTTTCCTTTCAGAAGAAACTGTGTGCAGTGAGATCTTTTGTGGATGCTTTCAGGTCAGCAAATAAAAACCTCTCATGCGGGGATTTGTTGGTATGAACCAGAATCGCAAAATGCATTTATTACAACCCACTACGTTTCATTTCCCAGAATTCCCTTATTTTGGCTGATACGGATCCGTCAGGATGTGTTGTAGCTTTGATTTCAATCAATCAAGAAATAATTTACCTCTGGAGCTGCAATGTCGAGTGCAGGGTTGGCCAGTTCAAACCTCTCCTGAGATTTCTCTCTGGCCAGACGGGCCGCCTCCTTCACCTCCTTAAACTGCTCTGCAAACTGGGACCGAAGAACAATGTCTAGATCATTCTTAAATCACATCAAAATGAATGTTGCATTTGAATGTTGTCGAGGTGTGTGGGACCGAGGTTTACCTGCTGCAGCTGCTGCTCTGTGGAAAAGCCCAGACCATAAACGGTGTTGGCACGACTGTCGGCCCACTGGCCAAACTTCTGGGATGTTTTGGTGAAGGTCATGTTGGGGGTGATGGTGCTGTTGATGATGGCCTGACACCAGAGGGAGTAAAAAAATATTAGGAAAAGTGGGATATTGTTGTTATGAATAATATGATCCTGCAAGGAAATAATTTTGCCTAAAGTACGTAGATTATTTATATTCTGCATTTCCCTGTAAATATGGTGCTTTTTTTAATCAAATTATACATTTGCTTCAGTGCTGTTTAAAACTATGTATTTATTTTGCATATTCGAGGATTTGAGTTTTAGATTAGAATCCATAAATACAGAAACATTGATCAACTATAATGTATGTAGTTATTATATTGACTATACATCTGCTAGGTTACTGAACCTCCATCTAGTTGATGTCAAGTTCTTTAAAACAGTTCAAAGAACGACCAATTTCAAGGACAAATAATTCTCAATATCCAAAATCTATTTATTTTGTCTTCAATGCCACGTTCATTATGTCTCTTTGTTATTTTCAATTTGCATGCACTCAAGCAGGAAAATATGCAGATTTTTATATGTTATTCACAGCAGGACATTACAGCAAACAGGCTGCTGTGGCTTTGAGTTTGAGGCTTTTCATCATTAGTATGAATAAATAACTCTGCTACATTAATACCACTAGCCACATTTAGATTATGCAGCTTATTAGACAAACCACTTTAAAGTCAAGCGATGCTGTAAATTACTTGATTGAAAAACATGATTTACTTATTGTTTCTCAACATTTCTGCCCTTACGAACCTATGACGAATACCGTATTTTCCGCACTCCAAGGCGCACTTAAAAGCCTTTAATTTTCTCAAAAAACGACCTGCGCCTTATAAATGGATCAATTGGTTAATGGGTTGATCCATACTGGTTGTACACGGCGCTCAAGGCGCTCTGCCAAACAGGCCAAAGCTCGTCTACGACGGCGAGATGCTGAGCGGCGCTCAAGCGCGTGAGATGTGGAGCTTGTTTTAGGGCGCGTCGGAGAAACAAAGCCGTCGTTCTCGCCGAGCACTTCATGAGATTAAAGAGCGAGAGACGGTGCCCTTTTCTTTACAGTAGCTGAACCATTTTAACGGGAAAATAATTCTAAAAGGAGCCGAAGATTTAAGGCGTGGATGGCGAGGGGGCGACGGGAGCGGACGCACCTCGCAGCATCGATCGGACCCTGAAAGCACCGTCTCCACCTCCCCACCCCGTCTCTCTTTTTCTCTTTCGGTCTGATTGATTTCCTGATGTACTGAATATAAATGTGTCGATTCTCTAGCTAGTTTTTTTAACGGAGATATAACTTGTCTAGTTTTAGCCATTTCTTTTAGAATTACCCACAGAAGAAAGAGTAGGCCGGGCTGGAACTCGTTTCAACCACCGAATGATGAATTGAGGGGGGGAAATTGGACTACTACCCAGGGCCCCCGATTTAGCAGGGAAAAATGTGAGTGTGGTCCAACGGTATTGTTCTATGCAACGTTTGTTAAAATATTGAATAATGACAAGATGTATTGTGGGGGTAAATTAGGATAAAGTGTTTCCGGCCCGAGATGGGGGGTAGAGCCCTGTAGTGCAACAGAGGTGGGGAAGCAAAATA